GAAGATAGATAGATAGATAGATAGATAGATAGATAGATAGAAATAGATAGATAAATAGATATTTTCCAAAATTTTCTGAAAGTTTCGTTTACATATGTAGAAATCTGTTACACAAACCCACCTCTTTATACCCTACACCATTATAGTGGGAGGATATTATGGGTTTGTGCTCATGTATGTATTTATTGGTTCTATAGATAGATAGATAGATAGATAGATAGATAGATAGATAGATAGACAGATAGATAGATAGATAGATAGAGAGTAGATAGATAGATAGATAGATAGATAGATAGATAGATAGATAGATAGATAGATAGATAGATAGATAGATAGATAGATAGATAGATAGATAGATAGATAGATAGATAGATAGATAGATAGATAGATAGATAGATAGATAGATAGATAGATAGATAGATAGAAGATAGATAGATAGATAGATAGATAGATAGATAGATAGATAGATAGATAGATAGATAGATAGATAGATAGATAGATAGATAGATAGATAGATAGATAGATAGATAGATAGATAGATAGATAGATAGATAGATAGATAGATAGATAGATAGATAGATAGATAGATAGATAGATAGATAGATAGATAGATAGATAGATAGATAGATAGATAGATAGATAGATAGATAGATAGATAGATAGATAGATAGATAGATAGATAGATAGATAGATAGATAGATAGATAGATAGATAGATAGATAGATAGATAGATAGATAGATAGATAGATAGATAGATAGATAGATAGATAGATAGATAGATAGATAGATAGATAGATAGATAGATAGATAGATAGATAGATAGATAGATAGATAGATAGATAGATAGATAGATAGATAGATAGATAGATAGATAGATAGATAGATAGATAGATAGATAGATAGATAGATAGATAGATAGATAAATAGATATTTTCCAAAATTTTCTGAAAGTTTCGTTTTACATACGTAGAAATCTGTTACACAAACCCACCTCTTATACCCTACACCATTATAGTGGGGAGGATATTATGGGTTTGTGCTGATGTATGTATTTATTGGTTCTACACCCAACTTTTGCATACCAGTCGGTACAAGTTACAATATTGATAATATGTTTCTTTTGAAAGCGCATTGAAAATTCTGGAAATCGGTATATTATTTCACCTAGCATCCATAAAATCGAACTGATTCAATGTAGCCAATTCCTTATCCAAAGATTTTAAAATGAAGCTCATGATCAAGCTTGTACTCTACGAGAATTAGGGAAAAAATCACTACCACCAACGACGCTTTGTCCATAAGACAAAGAATATGGCCTTAGAGGTAATATTTATGTTAAATACTCTATTATCTCTACAAAGATCAAGACACCGAAGTTTTACCTAAGCCTTAATGCTACTGCCTATTTTCGTAAAAATAACAATTTGACTTTATTAATGTATATCCTTCCACCAAATATTATAACGATCGGACCCTATAAAGCCTTTTCAGAATATCAGTTTATCATTAATAAGCAGCTTAAATATATACCCGACTTTATCTATAAAACTTGTTTTAAATACTTACATCTTAACGTTATTAATACTATCTCCACGACCCTTTAAGATTTTAACGTCTTTACACTTTCCCACAACACCATTCAATTGAGCCAATTCCTTATCCAAAGACTTTAAAATCGAAGAAGTCGATGACCAAGCTTGTACTCGACGAGAATTACGCAAAAAATCACTACCACCAACGACACTTTGTCCACAAGACGTTATATTTCGCTTTATTAAATCACCCGTTTTTAAAGTATCTCGATCATTGCGACCATTACCAACGGCAGCTGTAATGGAAGAATGTTTCTTCAAAACTTGTTTGGGATACGCGGAACGTTGTATATCATGAGATCTTCCTACCGAAAGGCCGCGAGATAAATACGCACGTCCCGTATGTGATGTTAAGAGTGATTTATTTAGATGAGAAGTTTCTATAAAGGATTTTTGTTTGCGTACCGGTTGATTTTGAAAGTGTTGACGTAGTAAATTATTCGAATTATTCGTTGCCGAAAAGTGTTGAGCAACAAGATGCTGTTGTGCCGTTGACGATGACGACCACTTAGCAGTTGATGACGACGTCTGTTGTCTACGACGAGTTGTCAGCGATAAAGGCATATTGTTGAGGCAAACAAGTTGATATGTTGAAAAACAATTATTTTGCTAAATACTATTTTGAATTGGTATTGTTGTTTTATAAATTTATTTATTAGTTTCTGTAAGTATTTGTGGCAGGCAATAAATACGAAAATAATTAGAAATCAATTTGCCAAAAACCACTAAAAAACTATTTGTTTTCTTATTATTTTTATTTATTTTTGTCGCAAACACTCCATACACACCCACTTTAGTTTGAAATATTAATTTACATTACTTTTCTTGTTTCTTTTTCCACTTTAAGCTATGAATATTTTAGTATTTTTGCTTCTTTATTCTAATCCTTTTCTTTAAATCTTTATCTT